AGACGAACGCCCCACTGCCAAGTACATTACCTCATCTAAAAGAGAGGAGATAAGTAGTGACAGTATAGATTGGTCTTGTTGCAACCATGCGGCATGTGCCGGATTTGGAGTAGAGACCGCGGTCGCGACGCCGGAGCCCGAGTCGCCAGTCGCGGCAGTCTCAACCGTGGGCGGAGGACATGGAGTACTGCCGTCCACAAAGCCCAGGAGGCCTTGCCCGCGGAGAAAAGGGACTAACTGTGTTCGCCAGAAGAGGAAATTTCGGGAGGTGAGCTTGATGGAAACAAAATGGTGAGCTCCGGAGAGCGGGTTTTGGGTGGAGGCTGGAGAGGTAACAGGGGTTGCCGTCACAGTTCGCTCAGAAGAGTTGGTTGACATGATCGGCGTTTGGGGAGAAAGAATAGGTTGGTTAGGAACGTACCTAGCTGATACCAGATGAGATAGGGAAAATCCAATTCAATTCTGATAGGATAAGATGTTACAATACTAAAGGAAATAACAAACGTAAAGAACTCCTATCTAAGTGGTTAGCCATAGAAGACTAAGCCAACTATTACATAATTACTAAGCTCAATAATAATTATAATAATAAACTAATAATATTACTAACATATATATATATATATATATATATATATATATATATATATATATATATATATATATATATATATATACTTTACCTTGTATATAGTTCCAAATCCACCCTGACCTAACTTGTTGTTTTGTGAGAAGTTATTTGTAACTCTTGATATTGTTGACCAGTCGAATATCACTACAAAAAACCAGTCATTTAGCAACATAATATTAGAGGCGGTTTGTTGTAACCGCCGCTAAATAAGTATTTAGCGACGGTTATATAAACCGCCACTAAAAATAAGGGGCAACTTTTAAAATTCTCCCTGTCTGATGTATATATCCTCCCTCCTATGTTAAATCACTACAAATTTAGTAATCAAAAATTTCTAACCCTAGTTCATAGTCGATCCTCTCTGCCTCTGCAATTTTCGCTGCCCTCCGTCGTCTTCGACTCTCCCGTCTCCGCTTCTCATTTTCGACTTTCGGCTTCTCCACTCATCTCTCGCCTCGCATCCTCCGCCCGGTTATATATGGTTGGAAGGAGCACTAGTACTGGAACAGGTTTATGACGGGGGTTGATTTTCCGGTAATTTCTCCCTTTTCTTTTTCTTTTCCACTTTCAGCTTTTCCTTTTTCTCTGCGAATCAAATCTGCTATCTAAGTTCATCATGGCTTGCTATTTCTCTTCCTCCTTGGACCGTCGCTTCCTAGTTGAACGCCAAAATGTGTGTTTTTTAAAGGTTCTTCTCATTTTCAATTTGGATCTTTGCCCTACTTTTAGGTACTCCTTGCTTGAATTTTGTTAATTAATTTGAAATTTTAGTTTTCTTTTCATTTACCGCTGATAATTCTGTAATTCCGTAATGTTCTACTACATTCAGCATTTTGCTCTGCTTATCAGTATCAGATCTTTCCTCTATAGATGACACTGATTTTGAAAATGCAAAATCCATTGATTGTAGAGTATAAGGACTCCTGGGTGGAGAAGGTTAGTTCTAAGGCTAATGAAAAATATGTTATTCTTACCTGTTTTGTCTGTCCTTTCATATTCTTATGCAGAGTTTGTGACACTACTTATCTTTGTTGTTTATTCAGCCAAATAGGATTACCTTTAACTTGACACCAGAGATCATTCTTCAGGTATATTGTTTCCTTTTTACTTTTCTAAACATGACACTGTACAACACATTTAATTATTAAAAAAAGAAGAAGCTTAAAATAAGAATTATCAGGTATTGTCATAAATTTGGTGCAACACGATTTTTTTTTAGCATTTTTGTTATGATTTGATATGCAATTGTTAATTCATTCATGTGGTAGGGCTGCAGCAAGATTCTTAGATATGACTTTCCCAAATGCTGCCAATGCTATTCTACTTTAATTTCCTATAGAACATTCTATACTTCTATTTGATGGTACATCACAATCTCAGTAGTTTGGATATTTGTTAGTATTAAATAAAATTTATGGTGTACGAGGTTGAACATATTCCGGATATTTATTATGGAGATCTAATAGTACTAAAAAACCTAGACTATACTATACTTTTAAAGGTACATTTGAAACTCCTGTGAGTTGCTATCTTCTATAGAAAGGCCTCAAATACAATTTCTCTCAACCTTGAATTTTTTTTCTTTTTTCTATTTGATATGCTTCTATTTCAGTGTTTCCCTTGATCTCAAGGGAGGGATGAAGAAGAGACTGAGAAGTGGAGTGGTTTGTTACTCCATTGGCTCTGCAATGTCTCCTCTGTGTAAGTAATATCTTTCACTGTTTTCGTTGTTATTATTTTTACTGTGCATCCTTCCTTATTTGTAAATGTTTGGCACTAAAAGTATAGCACAGTCTCTGGTCTTCCCTTCTTTTCTTCCCTTTTACTCTGAATTTTCACATGATTACTATGACATTGGTGCTAATTTTTAGGTCAATGATGTTTAGTATGCGTGTCAAGACTTGCATGTTTTATTCTCACAATTCTTCGATTCTCTTCCTTAGGGTTTTGATGCTTGCCAAGAGAACTTCTATTCAAAAATCTTTTCTTGTTCCTTTGTTTTCTTTGCAAACCCCTTTAACTCTCGTCTCATGAATCAAGTAAGCATCTCTCCTTAATTTTTGTGGTTTATGGTCATGGTGAGTGTATGCTATTAAATTCCAAGCTTCAATAAACAAATTGAACATTGATTTGCAGGGGTGAGTATGGCTTTTGGACAGCATTCTTGGCACTGCTTATTCACCTTTTCATCTTCTTTCCTGGTAAGTTTTATGCCAATTTCTGTGCTTTGTTATATTGGCATAACTCTTTAAGTATACCCAATCGGCATTATTTGAAACATGGAATTGCCTGTTTTGACAATCTTAGAAATGTAAGATAGAAATAATTCCAGGTTTTTTCCTGCTTGTTAAGTTAAGACAATGAAATGAACACGAGGGACGTCACCCATACTGAGCCTAATATTGAATCTCTTGTTTTCTGCTTTGGTATTTTATTTCATTTCTTGGCAAAGGAGGCTTTGGACAAGTCTATGTTGGTCGCTGAATTTCTGGTGGTAATGCAATTGAAAGAACACGAGGGACGTCACCCTTACTAATAAATTGGATTTCTCTCGTGTGTGTTCAATGCAAACATCTTATGTTTTGGTGTTCTAGTGCTGCACAGGTAGCTTTGAAATTTGAGCATCGAAATAGTAAAGGATGCAACTATGGACCACCATATGAATGGCAGGTTTACAAGTTAAATAATTGTCTATGACAAGTAATAAAACAACTCAAAATTGAAATCCAGATTGTGTTTTGCAGTGGGTGTATATGAGCAATTACTGTAAATTCTGATCTTTTCTTCATACTTTCATGCTACAGGTCTTAACATCGTTTGCAGGGGCTCTCCTGGAGAAGCAAGTTGTAGTAGTTTGTTTGCTTTCAGAGGAAAGAAAAATACTACAAGGAAAAGTCAAGACTATTAATTCTCATCGAGGGTGAGAAATGATATTCATAGTCTAGTGATGATGTAAAATGTCAATTTCCTTTTGCACGAAACCTTCATATTGAATAAACTACTATATTGTCTTCTGTTATCAGTTGCAGGATTATGCAAACAAATAGAGGGACTGACTAATAATGTTGAAATATCAAATGAAATGGTAATTCCCCCTCTTCAATTATGTATTATTTCTGTTTTTATGTAGAACTATAGAAGCACTGGCATAGGGGAACTTTTCATGCCTAACATAGTAATGCCTCCTGCTTATACTTGAGGCAATTTTTTTTTAATATTTTATTTTTTTACTGTGATGTGATCAGTGGTCCACCTTGCAATGTGGACCATGATTCAAGTATAATTTGCCCATTTTTTGCAATGACTTTAGCTTAGTAGTCACTTGGTGAGTTTATGAGACTGTTATTCAGAGCAGTGACATCATAAACTAATCATTTCTCTTACAATCAACAAATTAGTGAAAGAACTTGAGTCATGCCATTATCTTGCTTGACTTGAAACACTGGAGATTTGTCTTCTAATTCATTTTCCCTGATATTTCAAGAATGTGGCTGAGTTCTAAATCATTGCTACATAACAAATTTACAAATTTGTTTAAATATGGTTGCAGGTGTTTATGTTGCAAGAGAAGCTGGAAGAGAAGGATATGGAAATTAGAAGGGTAAAGAAAGAGCGGGAGCAAAGAGGTCTCAAGGAAGAGTCACATGAGAAACCATCACTACAGAGGAGATGAATGAGCTCTCTTCTGATGATAAAATTGCCACCAATGAGCTTGGATATAGAATTGATTTTCCTTTAATATGTAAACTTTCTTGAATATTGTTAAACATTAGTATTTGGCAATACAAGTTACATTTGATTTTCTTCTAAATTAAATGTTTTTTTTTTTTTTTTTTGCAATGCACATATGGAAGTAGATGTTTACAACAAAAAGTAATTTAATGACAATTATTATAAATTTAGTAGCAATACCTATTATATTAGAAAATACAAAAAAATAATTTTATATATATATATATATATATATATATATAAATCCCTATTATATGAGAAAATACAAAAAAAAAAATTAAATAAACATTAGCGGCGGTTTTGAAACCGCCGCTAACATTTACCAAAAAAATATATATTAAATAAACATTAGCGGCGGTTTACAAACCGCCGCTAACATTTAAAATAAATATTAAAAAAATATTAGCGGCGGTTCCCAAACCGCCGCTAAATGCACATTAAAAACTGTAAATATTAAATAAATATTAGCAGCTAAATGCACCCAAAACCGTCGCTAAATGAGTTTTCCATTAATTCCCGCGGTTGTTGAAACCGCCGCTAAATGCTTCGCGACACACTATTTAGACACGGTTTAATAACCGCCGCTAAACACACTAGTGGCGGTTTGGAACCGCCGCTAAACGCAAAAAAACCGCCGCTAAATGCCTGATTTGGTGTAGTGTATTGGTAGGGCTAATTCTTCCTTCAACTTTTGTTCTGTGTTTTTTGTTTTGCAAAAACACCAGAAAAGCACCACCCCTGCAAGAACAATTACAACCGGCAGCGACAAACAAAGCACAAGAACTTTTATTTTCCTCCCCGTTGGGCTTGAATGATTTGGTTCTGCTTTTAACCCTGTAGTTCCAAAAGCCTTTATTATGAGGCTGTCAAAGACTCAAAGTGACTATAAAGTATAAACACATTAATTATACCTGGTATTTCAGTAGCAGCCAGTCTGATGTATATGTCTTGCCCATCCGGTATTGTTCTCATATCAACTAAATCACCATACCAAATCAAACACCCACTTCCTCCATTGCTTATATTGAGAGTGGAATAAGCCATACAAGAGCAATTCCTCGAGCAAACTTGTTCACATTCTTGAAGGCTCATAGATTCATTATACCAAGAGTGCTTTGTATCTGGCAATTTGATATCAGAATATTTGACGAATCCATCTGATGATGAGGATCCATTATTGTGGCAATTCATCAGGGGAGTTCTCCTATGGCATCCTCGTGACAAGCTTTCTGTTGCATTATCATTAGACAAAAAAATTTCGAAACATCCACAACTACGATAATCCTGTATGTTGCAGACACCATTTCTACCACATAAACCATATGTGTCACAAATATCTGCCGGTTGGCTATGAAAACTCTCCCATTGTTTGATCTCATTTTCCCATGTCCATGATTTTAGAACACCATTGCTGCTAACAAGAAATCTAAATAAACCAAACTCAGTACTGATATTATAGCAATAATAAACATCCTTTTTATTTATAACCTGTCCATGTGGTCCAGGCTTGGTGTTCCTCTGTTCTGATGTTACACTAAAGCGCAAAACATTCCATGGACCTGAGCTAAAAATCTCAGTTGTTCCATTCTTGAGAATGAATTGTGGATATCCAGTAGGATCCAGGTGCAGTGTATATTGGCCTGAAGCTGGGTCATTTTCACTCTTCCAAGCTGTTAAGAAATCCTCATGCCCAGTCTGCAAATTCCACCCAACCTTCATTCCGGGTAAAAAATTATCAGTTGGATAATCAAAACTTTGCCAGAGAAAATTCTCCGGGTTTTCATCATCCGCATCTCTCACCACCAGGTTCCCGGATTTTGCACCGATGATCTTGATGTGTTGGCAGACCAAACAGGCTGACCCTTGTCTCCAACAAGTACAAGTTGGCCTCCCAGGGTGATCTTCAAGACAGCCGAAGATCTGTCAGCAAGTGGGGCATCTCTGTTTGCAACCCAAGCCACTGTCTTAACTGGATCTTGTTTGTACCATATACCTATGTAATGGTTTAAGGAATTGGTGGGGTTGAAAAATCCCATTACGAAGGTTCCACCCTCTGAAACGGTGGTGTCCCCCTCTCTAAGGAATTGGGTTTTAGTAATTAAATCCTTTCCCAAGCAAATATTTGGTATTGAAAGTAAGAAAGCCAAAAGCAAAACGAGCAAAAGAGCTCCCATGGCTACTGAATGAGGTAGTGCTATAGAAATTTCTACAGCAGCCTGAAATGAAGTAATGAAGATGAGACAACCAAGATTGCGTGTAAATACAGGGACCTTTCCCTCAAAATAACGTGTCTTGACTTCACTGCATAACACACTATGTTATCTTGCCAACAAGTCTGGAAAGGAATACCAAAATTAAAGTCTACTTTGGCATGCTGTTGACAAAAGTACAGTGCCGTTGCAATCTTATGATTCTAATGATCATACTTGCATTCTTGGTCTAACTTCATTCCCATACACTCTGTCTTAAGTGCTTTTAATAATCACGACCCTTAGCTTTGTGAAATCAATATAGATTCTCGCAGGGAAACAAGAATCAATAACTTTATCATATACATTTTCCTACAAGTTTTTAATCATCATGTATAAGTAACTTGATTCTTTAGGAAAACAATTATGAGATACAAGAAGTTAACAAATTACTCAGGCTACAATAATTGAACATATGATATGTTTTACAACTTAAGTTTTTGTCATATGAGTTTAGGCAAATCTAAAATATACATTCAACGAGGATCCAGTGATGACATTGTGACTTCATTGAGAGAAGTTGTTGCATGTTTGCCTGAAGAACTCTCTGAGTTAATAGCAGCCCTCCTGCGAACGAAGTAGCCAGGTTCTTTAGGTTGAGGCAACACAGCATCATTAACCAGCATTTGAACAACAAAAGACATGTTTGGTTTATCTTCTGGAGATTGTTGCACACATAAAAGACCGATATGGATTGTCCTTAAGACTTGATCTATATCAAAAGAATCAGATATACACTCATCAACTAGTGTGAGTGATTCTCCTTCTTTATAAAGCTTCCATGCCTGTATAATATATATTAACATTGTAGAGAAAAATGATATTGATGAATATTTTGTATGCATGAATGAATAAATTAATGGAATTTTCTAAATAGAAATCTTACATGGCCAGGAAGGGTCTCGTATCGATCTTCATTAGAAAATTCACTATTTTTCTTGCCACTGACTATTTCTAGTATTAGAACATCAAAGCTAAACACATCTGACTTAGATGAGAAGATACCATGTGTTGCGTATTCTGGAGATATATACCCACTACATTGTTTGACAAACACTCATGAGAAGATGCATGAAAATTAAGAACAAACATATGCAAAGTGTTTAAGGTTAAATTGAAATTCTTACTGGGTTCCAGCAAGTCGTTTTGTGTTATGCCTTGTTGCATTTCCTACTAAACTCCTAGCCAACCCAAAGTCTGATATTTTTGGGTTTAAGTCAATATCAAGCAAAACATTGCTACTCTTGAGGTCCCTATGAATAATTCTTAGTCGAGAATCTTGATGGAGATACAATACCCCACGAGCAATTCCATTGATTATGTTGAAGCGTTTTAGCCAGCCAAGTAACTTTTTCCTTGTTTGATCTGATCTATCAAAGGTTTAAGTTAGTTTTGTTACAATAATTTCCTATGGTACGAAATGAATATAGATGACAAGATAACCGTACCAAATATAAAAAAGTCCAAACTTTTGTTTGACATGTATTCATAGATCAATATATTTTCTTCACCATTAATGTAACATCCCAAAAGCTTGACAAGATTTCGATGTTGTAATTTGGCAATACAAATAACTTCATTCTTGAATTCCTCAAGTCCTTGCATGGAATTCTTTGATAGCCTTTTTACAGCTATTTCTCCTCCCCCATCCAGAGCACCCTAAGCAGTTAAAATAAATAAAATAAGATTCGATACATACCTATACAAGAAAACACACTGCATGTACTTTTACCTTGTACACTACTCCAAATCCACCCTGACCTAGCATGTTCTTCTCTGAAAAGTTATTTGTAGCTCTTGATATTGTTGACCAATCGAATATGGGTAGCTCCAATTCATTCTCCATCTTTTGTTCTCTCTTTCTAGTTCTGCAAAAATACCAGACAAACGACACACCTGCAAGAACGGTTACAGCCGGCAGCGACAAACAAAGAACAAGGAGCCGTGTTTTCCTCCCCATTGAGCTTGAATGATTTGGTTCTGCTTTTAACCCTGTATTTCCAAGAGGCTTATCTCATTTCAACTTCATTATAAGGCTGTATGACAAAGTGACTATAAACACATTAATTATACATATATACCTGGTATTTCGCTAGCAGCCAGTCTGATGAATATGTCTTGCCCATTCTGTATTGTTCTCATATCAACCAAATCACCATGCCAAATCAAACACCCACTTCCTCCGTTGGTAATATTGAGAGTGGAATAAGCCATACAAGAGCAATTCCTTAAGCAAACTTGTTTACACTCTTGAAGGCTCATAGATTCATTATACCAAGACTGCCTCGTATCTGGCAATTTGATATCAGAATATTTGAGGAATCCATCTGATGAAGATCCATTATTGTGGAAATTCAGGGGTTTTCTCCTATGACATCCTCGTAACAAACTCTCTGTTGCAGCATTATTATTATTATTAGGCAAAAACTTGTCTAAACATCCACAACTACTAAATTCCTGTATGTTGCAGAGACCGTTTGTACGACATAAATCATATATGCCACAAGTATCTGACGGTTGCTTACGATAATTCATCCATTGTTTGATCTGATCTTCCCATACCGTTGACCTAAAAACACCATTGCATGTAACAACAAATCTAATTAATCCCAAATCCTTATTGAGACTATACCAATAATAAACCTCCTTTTTATTTATTACCAGTCCATGTGGGCCAAGGATGCTGCTGTTCTGTTTTACTGATGTTACACTAAAGTGCACACCATTCCATGGACCAGTGCTAGAACTCACAGTTGTTCCATTCTTGACAATAAGTTGTGGATATCCAGTAGGATCCAGGTGCAGTGTATATTGGCCTGAAGCTGGGTCATTTTCACTCTTCCAAGCTGTTAAGAAAACCTCATGCCCAGTCTGCAAATTCCACCCAACCTTCATTCCGGGTAAAAAATTGTCAGTTGGATAATCAAAACTTTGCCAGAGAAAATTCTCGGGGTTTTCATCATCTGCATCTCTCACCACCAGGTTCCCTGAATCCAGCAACTCTGCAACCGGATTTTGCACCGATGATCTTGATGTGTTGGCAGACCAAACAGCCTGACCCTTGTCTCCAAGAAGTGCAAGTTGGCCTCCCAGGTTGATCTTCAAGACAGCCGAAGATGTGTCAGCAAGTGGAGCATCTCTGTTTGCAACCCAAACCACTGTCTTAAGTGGATCTTGTTTGTACCATATACCTATGTAATGGTTTAAGGAATTGGTTGGGCTAAAGAATCCCATTACAACGGTTCCACCCTCTGAAACGATGGTGTCCCCATCTCTAAGGAATTTGGTTTTAGTAATTAAATCATTTCCCAAGCAAATATTTGGTATTGAATATAAGAAAGACAAAAGCAAAAGGAGCAAAAGAGCTTCCATGGCTACTGAGAGAGTGAGTGCAAGAGAAATTTCTTCAGTAGCCGAAATGAAGATCAGACAACCAAGACTGCGGGTGAATGCCGGGATCTTTCCGTCAAAATAACGTGTGGAAATATCATATTCTCTTGCCAATAAGTGTGGAAAGGAATACAAATGTTGCCTTTGGCATCCATGGCATGCGGTTGACAAAACTATTGCAAATTTATAATTATGATATTCCTTTCCACACTTATTATAATAAGGAATAAGGGTCAAATAGGTCATCGAACTGCATACAATAACACAATTAGATCACTGAACCTAAAAAAACAACAATGAGTCCCTAAACTAACTATTTTCATGCAATTAAATAAATTTACTGGTTTTACAAGTTAGTAACAGGTTACTCAAATTTTAAAATATATTTTTTTAAAATAATAATTTAAAATTAAAAATTATTAAAAAAAAAAAAAAAGTTTAACCGTCTCCGGCAGTTTCTTCGTCTCCGGCCATGGAGACGAAGAAAAATGGCCGGAGAAGAAGAAACTCTTCGTCCCCGGCCAGAGACGAAGAGAATTTTCATCTCCATGGCCGGAGACGAAGAGACTCTTCGTCTCCATGACAGGAGACGAAGAGACTTTCCGTCTCCGACCATGGAGACAAAGAGTTTCTTCGTCTCCGGCAGAGCGAAGAAACGTTTTTTTTTAAAAATTTTAATTTATTATTTTTAAATAATAATTTAGTTTTAATTTATTATTTTTAAATAATAATTTTTAAAAAAATATTTTAAATTTTTTGGGTGACTTGTTACTAACCTACAAAACCTGTAAATTAGATTAATTGAATGAAATTTGTTAGTTTAGTGGCCTAATTGTTGTTTTTTAAGGTTCAGTGACCTAATTGCATTATTGTGTACAGTTCAATAGCCTATTTGACCCTTATTCCTTATAATAATTATTATTATTATAGATCATTATAGACAACCAAGATCATTATATTGCCCACACAAGGTAAAAATAAAATCTATCTCCCTAAAGACCCTCACACCTCGGGGTCGGCATGATGGTGGAAGGGTAAATGTGACTCAAAAGCCTCTTAGGGAGAGGACCAATAATGTCTATTGATCACAAGTAAGAATGTCAATCAGACCAACCTATTCGATTTTAAGCTAGCCCTATTGGGATCTCGGTCTTATCCGTTTTGTTTGGTTGGATTTAAAATTCTTAGCCCTAATATATTTATATTATAATATTTTTTTGGGATAATTGTAATTTATGCCCCTCAGAAATATGTCAATTATTAATGTCACCCCTGAATGATTTGTGGTGTAAATGTTGTCCTTCAATTTTCAAAACGTGACATATATTGCCCCTCCCCTGATAGGAAGAAGGAGAAATATGGTTGTCGGTGGAAGGAGACCAAACAAATAAAGAAAAGTAGAGGAAAAAATGTGGCTTTCAAATAGAGAAAACGATGGGTAACCACATTTACACCACTAATAATTCAAGGGAGGGGCAATATATGTAACGTTTTAAAAATTGAGGGGCAACATTTACACCACTAATAATTCAGGGGTGACATTGATAATTGACATATTTGTGAGGGGCATAAATTACAATTTTCCATATTTTTTATTATTATTATTTATTTTCATAAAAAATATTTTATTTTGTAATAAATTTATTAATATATTATTAATTTTTTTAAAAAAAATTAATTAAAAAAAATACTAAAGATAGAACTTACACATAAACTCTTTAATTTGTAGAATTTATTTTGAATACCCCATCATAGATTTTGAAATAATTCAAACTCTGGTCGTAATTGGTGTCAGTATTTCTTCTTTTACCTCATAAGTTATAAATTAGGGCAATTATTAGGTTTAGGTATCCATGTCTAAAATTCTAATTACACATTGAGCAGAGCTTATTTAGGAGTTTATAGCTTATTAGCTTATTTTGAGCTACTAATAAGCTTAAGTAATGTTCCCAAAATAAGCTCATAGTTTAAAATAAGAGCTTATTTTGAAATGCTACTTTAGGTAGCATTTCAAAATAAGCTCCTAGCTTCCTAACTTTTTTTCCATCTTTATCCTTATTATTTTAAAGAAATGACATAATTTACACTTCCAAATTAAAACTTTTTTCTCTTCTCCTTTATTCGCAACTTTCACCGCAATTATTATTATTATTATTATTATTATTATTATTATTATTATTATTATTATTATTATTGCAACAATATTGCTACTTCATTATGAGATGCTAGATCATGATTATGCTAATAGTTTTATTTCAAAAATGTTAATTTTTTTTTTAAAGACAGCTTGATGAAGATGTCCTTTTTACTCTTTTTACCTTTATCAACTTATCAAAAAACTAATTTTACCAAACACTTGCAATCATAACAGCTAGTTTAACAACTCTTCAATTTTCAGCTCCGAGCTTATAGCTTTTCAACTTTTAGCTTTCAGCTCATTTTCAGCTTTCAGCTCCTAGCTTATAGCTTATCAGCTAGGTTTGCCAAACAGAGCCTATATATATAAATCTCCAACGAACAATTTCATGGTGTTATGTGCATTAAAATTGGGTTGTTACTCGTATCATTGCACGGGAGTGAAGTTTATCTTATGCACACTCTCGAAAAGTGATTGCATGTTTCCCCTGTCACCTAAAAATATACTATAGTTTGCATGACATGATATACATATACATAAATAATGTTCACATTTCTTAACAATGTCTGGATGCATTTCAAATTTATAATAAGCATCAATTGAACATATCATACATTTTTCACAACTCACGTTTTTGTCATATGAGTTTATGCATTCTGAGAAAATTTAAGGAATCTAAGTTATGCATTAATCAACGAGGATCCAGTGATGACATTGTGACTTCATTAAGGGAACTTGTTGCATGTTTGGCTGAAGAACTCTCAGAGTTAAAAACAGCCCTTCTGCCAACGAAGAAGCCAGGCACTTTAGGTGGAGGCAACACAGCGTCATTAACCAGCATTTGAATAATATAAGACATGTTTGGTCTATCTTCTGAAGATTGTTGCACACATAAAAGACCAATATGGATTGACCTTAAAACTTGAGCGACATCATATGAATCAAATATATGCTCATCAACGAGTTTGAGTGATTCTCCTTCTTTATAAAGCTTCCAAGCCTGTATAATATATATTTAATAATATTGTAGAGAGAAATTAAATGATGATTATTCCGCTGACATGAATGAGTAAATTAATGGAATCATCTAAAAATCTTACATGTCCAGGAAGTGTCTCGTATTGATCTTCATTTGAAAATTCGTTATTTCTCTTGCCGCTAACAATCTCTAGTACTAAAACACCAAAACTAAACACATCTGATTTAATTGAGAAGATCCCATGTGTTGCATATTCCGGAGATATATACCCACTACATTGTATGGTAAACACTCAATGAGTAGATGCATTTAAAAATATAATTAAGAACAAACATATGCAAAAGATGGCTTGCAAAAGTGTTTAAGAGTAAATTGTGATATATTCTTACTGTGTTCCAGCAACTCGTTTTGTATTATCTCCAGTTGCGTTTCCTACTAAACTTCTAGCCAAACCAAAGTCGGATATTTTTGGATTTAAGTCAATATCAAGCAAAACATTGCTACTCTTGAGGTCTCTATGGATAATTCTTAGTCGAGAATCTTGATGGAGATACAATAACCCTCGAGCAATTCCATTGATTATGTTAAAGCGTTTTTGCCAGTCAAGTAACTTTTTTCTTGTTTGATCTGCCAAAGGTTTAAGTTAGTGTTGTTTCAATAATTTCTTATGATTTGGATATAGATGACAAGGTAAACATACCAAATATGAAGAAGTCCAAACTTTTATTAGGCATGTATTCATAGATCAACATCTTTTCTTCCCTGCAGCAACCCAAAAGGTTGACAAGATTTCGATGTTGTAATTTGACAATACAAATGACTTCATTCATGAATTCCTCAAGACCTTGCGTGGAATTCTGTGATAGCCTCTTCACTGCTATTTCTTCTCCCCCATCCAATGCACCCTAGGTAATTAAAATAAATAAAATAAGATTATGTACATGCCCATCTAAGAAATTAATGCTGCATATAATTTTACCTTGTATACAGTTCCAAATCCACCTTCGCCTAACTTGTTCATTTCTGAGAAGTTATTTGTAGCTCTTGATATTGTTGACCAATCGAAAACTGGTAGCTCTAATTCTTGCTTCAACATTTGCTCTTTCCTTTTTGATTTGTAAAAATACAAGTAAAGAGACACCCCAGCAAGAACTATTACAACCAACATCGACAAACAAGGCACAAGGATTTTTGTTTTCCTCCCCAATGAGCTTGAATGATGTGGTTTTGGTGTTAACCCTGTAGTTCCAAAAGATTTCTATTATTTCTTATTTTTTTAATGATGAGAAAAACTCACAATCACTACCTGAAGGTGTGTATTGGATAAACCTCGTCTTGTAACCTTAGACGGTAAAGCACCACAAAAAGGTAAACCAGTCTAATCACCTTCTTAGGTCAATAGGCCTAAGAAGGTCAGTAGGCCTCTCACCAAGAGTCGAACTTAAAACCTTATAGCAACTAAGGCAATAGTATGATGACCTTGTGCTTAAATGTTACCCCTATGGCTCCCCTTGAAGGAAGGTCACATGACTGAACCCCGATGGTGGGGTATTGACTCTTTGAGATGCAGTAGTTTAGAGAAAGTATAGAACAAATACTACATTGTAATAGAGTCAATAGTGTTAAAAAAAAAAATCTACATTATGTTCAGGCCGTCAAACTGATACTCCCTCCGTCCCTAATTGAATGTCTCATTTGTTTTTTGCATGGTTTTTAATACAATATAACAAATGTTACTAACTTTCCAATTTTGTCCCTCAAAAGTAGGTGTTATTTGTATAAAGTACAATTGTACTTATTTTTAGAAATTTGAAAAGTCAAGGGTAAATTGGGAAAGGTAGAGAGATAGTTATGTTCAATTTTAAAAAGTTGATATTATTTTGGGACAAATTAAAAAGGAAAGTAAGACATGTAAAATGAGACAAGAGGGAGTAATAAAGACATTAACTATACCTGGCATTTCAGAAGTAGCCAATCTGATGAACATATCTTGCCCATTCTGTACTGTTCTCATATCAACCAAATCTCCATACCAAATCAAACACCCACTTCCTCCATTGCTTATATTGAGAGTGGAATAAGCCATACAAGAGCAATTCCTTAAGCAAACTTGTTCACACTCTTGAAGGCTCATAGATTCATTATACCAAGACTGCTTTGTATCTGGCAATTTGATATTAGAATATCTGAGGAATCCATCTGATGAAGATCCATTCTTGTGGCAATTCAGGGGTTTTCTCCTATGGCATCCTCGTAACAAGCTTCCTGTGGCTGTGGCATTTTTAGTAGGCAAAAATTTGTCTAAACATACACAACCATGAAATTGCTGTATGTCACAGACACCATTTCCACCACAAAAACCATATCTTCCACAAGTATCTGCAGGATGGGTACGATAACTCATCCATTTGTTGATCTGATCTTCCCATACCCATGATTGTAGAAAACCATTGCTTGTAACAACAAATCTAAATAAACCCAAATCATTACTCGGATTACTCCAAAAATAAACCTCCTTTTTACTTATAACCACTCCATGTGTGCCAAAGTAGGTCATGTTCTGTTCTACTGGTCCTACACTAAAGCGCAAACCATTCCATGGACCTGAGTTAAAAATCTCAGTTGTTCTATTCTTCAGACTAACTTGTGGATATCCAGCAGGATCCAGGTGCAGTGTATACTGGCCTCTAGCTGGGTAATTTTCACCCTTCCAAGCTGTTAAAAAAATCTCACGACCAGTCTGCAACTTCCACCCAAGCTTCATTCCAGGTAACCAATGATCAGTTGGATAATCAAAACTTTGCCAGAGAAAATTCTGCAGGTTTTCGTCATCTGCATCTCTCACCACAAGGTTCCCAGTATCCAGCAACTCTGCAACCGGATTTTGAACCGATCTTGATGCGTTCGCAGACCAAACAGGCTGACCCTTGTCTCCGAGAAGTGCAAGTTGGCCTCCCAGCTGGGTGATCTTCAAGACTGTTGAAGAAGATGTGTTGACAAGCGGAGTGTCTCTGTTTGCAACCCATACCACTGTTTGATCAGGAATTTGGTTGTACCAGATTCCTACATATCGGTTTGAGGAATTGTTGGGGCTAAAAAATCCCATCACAAAGGTTCCACCTTTTGAGATGATGGTATCCCCATCTTTCAGAAATTGCGTTCTTGAAATTAAATTGATATCCTTTCCCAAGCAAATATTTGATATCGAAAGTATAATCAAAGCTGGTAAAAGCACTTCCATGGTTACTGCAGATCAGATACAGAATGGTAGAGGAATTTTTACAATAGCCTAAAATGAATATCAGACAATCAAGACCTCGTGTAAATGCAGGGAGGGATCTTTCCCTAGTAATCTGTCTTGACTGCTTTGCATCTTAACAAATTGACCTATTAAACCCATTATAATTTTTTTGGAGTGACCAAGGAAATTCGCAGTCAACGGTGTGTACAGGATAAATTTCATTTGGGGAACCAAGTCAGCAAATGACTACAATGTGATAAACTTGTAACTATTAAAGTCAAATGTGGAATGGGTAGAGATTTTGCCTGGAATAAGATTGAGAGGAGGTCGCCTAAGGAAACTTGGGAGGAGATGGAATTTGGGAAGAGATTTCTTAAAGAAATTTGGGAGGAGGTTCCATAAGAAAACTTTGGGAGGAGGTTTGACTAAAGAAAAAAACATGAGGTTAGATTTGGACACAAGTTTTGGAGAAAACTTGCAGGGAAAGAATATCATTAAATGCTTGGAATCTCTAGGCACATGGGTTATAGCTTAAAAATATCTAGATACATAGGTTGTTATAAATAAGGCAATATCCTTCCTTCATCATATCATCTCATTCCATCCGAAAATTTTCAGTAGCATAGCAAATTCTGTAGAGAGTAATAGAGAGTTATATTTATAATTCCTATTGTATTATCATTTTACCAATACAGAAAAAAATCTTCTTCAATTTGCCTTGTTCTGTATGATTTATTTTAAATCTTACACTAGAATTTATTCTCAATATTTTCAGTTCAAGTTGCTGTTGTAAATTTAGTGTTGTGAACTCGTTTCGATCCTAACAATTATTATGTGTTATATTAAAATCCAGTTATTAAATGACATGATGCACGTATACAAAAATAATTGTTCGCATTTCTTATTGATGTCTGTACTTCAAATTCATAAGCATCAATCTAACATAAGATATCTTTACCAAGACTATGTGGTCTAATGGTACCCGAGTTGAACTTTCATTTGGAAGGTTGTGAGTTCTCCAACTGAATTTAAATTGATTATAGGATATCTTTACCAAGACAGTAACATTTAAAAAACATAGGATATCTTTTACGTACTATCTAAGTTTTCGTTTCCCTACTGAATTTAAATTAAATATAAATTATACATTCAACGAGGACTCAACACCATAATAATAACTTCATTTTGAGAACTTTTTGAATGTGTGTCCCCAGGGACGGAGCCAGGAATTTTGTTGAGGGGGGGCGAAATAGAGACCGATTCACAAATTTTTTCAGTAAAGGCGAAACATTAAAATAAAAGAGATATTTAAAAATAAATAAATAAATTACCTAAGAAATATAGGTGTAAATATTATTGGATATGGGCAAAAAATAAAACAATTCGAAACTTTATAAAAATATTCATAACAAAATATGAAACATAATTAATTTGATAAAATAATTTGAATATATATATATATATATATATATATATATATATATATATATATATATATATATATATATATATATATATATATATATATATATATATATATATATATATATATATATATATGTATGTATGTATGTGTGTATCAAATATTAAAAAAACTATTAAAACATGATTGTGTTAGAGTCATAGGGAAGGAGCCAAAAAACTATATGATTCAAACGCCTAACCTTTATTATAACCAAATGCATGCCCTCTACCAACTAATTTAACTCATTTCTTATGAACAATTAACAGTTTTTATATACTAATACTCAAAAATGTACTATATACACATATATACATACAAAAATTATATATGGGGTAGAAGTAGGGGTAAGGGTGGGGGTGGGTGAGGGGGGCAGCTGACCCCCCTGCCCCCCCTTTGGCTCCGTCTATGTGTGCCCGAAGGATATCCCTTGCCAAAAAATAATCCAGGCTCCTTAGCTTGAGGCAATGCAAAATCATTAACCAACGTTTGAACTACAGAAGACATGTCTGATATACCATCTGTGAAGATTATTGCACACATGCATAGAAGGCCGACATGGATTGACCTTAGAACTTGAACTACATCATATGAACTAGCTATATGCTCATCAACCAACACAATTGATTTTCCTTCTTTGTAAAGCTTCCATGCCTATATAATATTTAAATCATACATACAAATAAAAATGAAATATTCTAGACAAGAAAGAATGGAAGCTTAAGGAATAAATGTGTAGTTGAAGATCTTAAGATGAAATTTAAATTCTGAGACAATTTAAGGAATAATCTGAGTTATGCATTAATCAACGAGGATTCAGTGATGACATTGTGACTTCATTAAGGGAACTTGTTGCATGTTTGGCTGAAGAACTCTCTGAGTTAAAAACAGCCCGGCCTTCTGCCAACGAAGAAGCCAGGCTCTTTAGGTTGAGGCAACACAGCGTCATTAACCAGCATTTAAACAACAGAAGACATGTTTAGTCTATCTTCTGAAGATTGTTGCATACATAAAAGACCAACATGGATTGACCTTAAAACTTGAGCTACATCATATGAATCAAATATATGCTCATCAATGAGTTTGAGTGATTCTCCTTCTTTATAAAGTTTCCATGCCTGTATAATATATATTTAACAATATTGTAGAGAGAAATGATGAATATTCCGCTAACATGAATGAGTAAATTAATATAATGGAATCATCTAAAAATCTTACATGTCCAAGAAGTGTCTCGTATTGATCTTCATTTGAAAATTCGTTATTTCTCTTGCCGCTAACAATCTCTAGTACTAAAACACCAAAGCTAAACACATCTGATTTAACTGAGAAGATCCCATGTGTTGCATATTCTGGAGATATATACCCACTACATTGTATGGTAAACACTCAATGAGTAGATGCATTTAAAAATATAATTAAGAACAAACATACGCAAAAGATGGCTTGCAAAAGTGTTTAAGAGTAAATTGTGATATATTCTTACTGCGTTCCAGCAACTCGTTTTGTATTATCTCCAGTTGCGTTTCCGGCTAAACTTCTAGCCAGACCAAAGTCGGATATTTTTGGGTTTAAGTCAATATCAAGCAAAACATTGCTACTCTTGAGGTCTCTATGGATAATTCTTAGTCGAGAATCTTGATGGAGATACAATAACCCTTGAGCAATTCCATTGATTATATTAAAGCGTTTTAGCCCGTCAAGTAACATTTTTCTTGTTTGATCTGCCAAAGGTTATTTAAGTTAGTGTTGTTTCAATAATTTCTTATGATTTGGATATAGATGACAAGGTAAACATACCAAATATGAAGAAGTCCAAACTTTTGTTAGGCATGTATTCATAGATCAACATCTTTTCTTTCCCGCTAATGCAGCAGTACCCCAAAAGCTTGACAAGATTTCGATGTTGTAATTTGGCAATACAAATGACTTCATTCATGAATTCCTCAAGACCTTGCGTGGAATTCTTTGATAGCCTCTTCACAGCTATTTCTTCTCCCCTATCCAAAGCACCCTAGGTAATTAAAATAAATAAAATAAGATTATGTACACGCCCATCTAAGAAATTAAAGCTGCATATAATTTTACCAGTTCCAAATCCACCTTGGCCTAACTTATTCATTTCTGAGAAGTTATTTGTAGCTCTTGATATTGTTGACCAATCGAAAACTGGTAGCTCTAATTCTTGCTTCAACATTTGCTCTTTCCTTTTTGATTTGCAAAAATACAAGTAAAGAGACATCCCAGCAAGAACTATTACAACCAGCATCGACAAACAAGGCACAATGATTTTTGTTTTCCTCCCCAGTGAGCTTGAATGATGTAGTTCTGGTAGTAACCCTGTAGTTCCAAAACAACTTTCTTATTTACACTTTATTATGAGGCTTTCAAAGGGAGTATAAACACATTTATTATACCTGGTAATGGTATTTCGGTAGCAGCCAGTCTTATGTATATGTCTTGCCCATCCGGTATTGTTCTCATATCATCTAAATCATCATACCAAATCAAACACCCACTTTCTCCATTGCTTATATTAAGAGTGGAATATGCCATACAAGAGCAATTCCTCAAACAAACTCGTTCACACTCTTGAAGGCTCATAGATTCATTATACCAATAATGCTTTGAATCTGGCAATTTGATATCAGAATTACAGGAGTGAGTGCTAGAGAAATTTCTTCTGTAGGCGACAATGAAGATCGGACAACGAAGAAAGACGGCGGGTGAACGCGAGAACCTTTACGTCAAAATAACGTGTCTTGACTTCACTTCTGTAATTTCCAAGTGAGATGAAATTTCTACCAACACTCGTAGGCCATGGCAGCCGTTCAGTCACTTAATTAAGTGAAAAGGGTCAAAATAGACCCTTTTAACTTTTGATGAAAAAATAATTAAGTTCTCAAACATTACCAGGACTATGTGGTCTAATGGTACCCGGGCTGGACTTCCATTTGGAAGGTTGTAAGTTCGAGCCTCAGTGGATGCGTTATTGGTTCTTTGTGTTTCAGTAGGTTGAGAAAGTATATGAATAGATACTACATTGTAATATATAGAGCCAGTAGCATTCAAAAAAAGTTTTGAAACCTTAAAAAGGTTCAATTAAATACTTGAACTCTTTAAAATTGTACAATTAGATCTAATTTACAGGTTATCGATAAAAAATTTATATATTTTATTTTTATTTGCTTTTTACCGTCCGACGACCATCGCCCGCCTCCTTCGATGGATTCTGATACATTAATAAAGAGCTTCTTCCCCATGGGAGCTTCACCAGATCCTAATTCTTTTGCTAATGCCATGAACTTCCATAGCCCAGATTTAAGGCTGTCTTTACCGTCGTTCCAAGATCCTACTATCCTGCTCCACCACCACCCTCCGCGGGCTAGCCATGGAGAAGCACAACACCTTTTCGTCATAGCCGACGCCGCAACTCAGCTGGGGTTCAGTGCTTCTGAGCACCATGAACATCACCAGAGGCTAGCGCTATGGAATGCCAGCATAGACTCCAACACCGCGCCAGCGCCGGGAGAGAGTATCTTCTGCAACATAAGAATACTTATTCAATTCACCGCCGATGCCGGCGTTGTATGAGCAGGTGGTTGGTGGACACTGGACAGAGCCAGTTTTTATGTTCAGAGAGGGGACCCCTGTCCAGCAACACTCCTTGGTGTCACAACCCTCAGGTTTGAGCAGCAAAAAACAGAAAGAATAAACAGAAGGAAATAGATGAAGAGGATGAGAAAAAGCTTTAGATAGAGAGGTATTAGGGTTCTGTGATTTCAGACCAAAAACAACATAAAAAACATCTCTCTAAAACAATAATTTAAAGCTGGAATTCCTTCGAAAATATCCTAACAAACTCCTATTTTCTCGCCGGAGGCAAGCCAGCTCAGATGTAGTGAAACGGCGTCGTCTGAGACCTTCCTTCAACTTCTCATCTTCATACGTCGTCGTTTGGACTAACCGGCTAACCACCTCCTGCTAACCGCTTCATACGACACCGTTTGGATTAGTAATAACCTCCGCATAACTGCCTTCGTCATACGACATCGTTTTGGTCCCCTGACTTCCCATACTTAGCATTTTTCAGCTTCCTCTTCTGATCCGAGACTCCTCCCCTTCAAATTTCTTCTTCTAGCTCTCAAGGTCATGACATTGCCCCCTCCTTCAGTAGATCCTTGTCCCCAAGAATCAAAATTTGGAAACTGCTTGGTGATGTGATGGTAGTTCTCCCAAGTAGCTGCTTCCTTAGGTAAATTGGCCCATTGCACTAAAATTTCCACTTCTGCCTTATTATTCTTCTTGATTAATCTCTTTCCCAGAGCTGCCAAGGGCTGTGTCAGGACCATCCCATCTTGATCTGTAAGAGGTAGGGTAGTTTGTGGACTCAATCCTTCTCCTACTTTTTTCTTCAATTGAGACACATGAAACACTGGGTGGATTGCAGTTCCAGGGGGTAATTGCAACTTATAGGCTACTTTCCCCACTTTGGCTGTGACCATATAGGGTCCATAGAACCTGGCAGTCAGTTTGACATTGGACCTAATGGCCACTGACACTTGTTTGTAAGGTTGTAGCTTCAGGTACACCCAATCCCCAACATCAAAACTCCTTTCACTTCTATTTCTGTCAGCTTGCTGCTTCATTCTTGCCTGAGCTTGCTGTAAGTTTTCCTTAAGGATGGCCACCATAGTGGCCCTCTCCTTAAACCACTCATGACCTTCTTCTTCAGTTACCACATCAAAAGTTATAGCTGGGGTTAGATATCCATATAAAGCCTGGAAAGGAGAACATTGTAAGGAGGTATGGTAGTTAGTGTTGTACCAATGCTCTGCTAGGTGAAGCCATTTACTCCAAGCTTTTGGCTTATGAAAAACCATACATCTGAGATAGGTTTCCAGACATCTATTAACTCTTTCTGTTTGACCATCAGATTGAGGGTGATAGGCTGTTGACATACTCAGTTTCACTTGCAGATGTTTGAATAAGGATTGCCAAAACTTGCTTAGGAAGACTTTGTCTCTATCACTCACAATATCTTGGGGAATACCATGCAGTTTATAGATGTTTTCCATGAAAATTTCAGCCACCTTTTCAGCTGTGTAAGGATGTGAGAGAGCTATGAAGTGTCCATACTTGGTAAATCTGTCCACTACCACCATTATTACCTCCTTTCCATTTGACATAGGAAGACCCTCAACAAAGTCCATTGATATACCCTGCCAAGCCTGTTCTGGAATTTTGAGGGGTTGTAAAAGTCCAGGATAGGCTACATTTTCCTCTTTGCACTGTTGACACACCTCACATGTCTTTACAGCTGTGATAACTTCATTCTTCATCCCTCTCCAATAGAACAGTTGTTTCAACCTGTGGTATGTTACTTGCTGGCCTGAATGACCCCCAATGGGAGAGTTGTGCATCTGAGCTAACAATCTGCTTCTCAAATCTCCTGAAACCCCAAGATAAAGCCTCTCTTTGTACTTGATCAACCCTTCAGTCACAGAGAATTTTGATCCTGCTTCTGGTACTATTAATTGCTCAGTTAACACCTTGGTAGCCAATTCATCTCCTTCATAACTTTTGAGCACTTCCTCAATCCATAATGGTCTGACAGTGGTAATGGCCATGGCCTCAGCTTGTGCCACATCTCTTTTCCTAGATAAGGCATCAGCCACACAGTTATCTCTTCCCTTCTTATACTGAATTTCATAACTGAGCCCAAGCAATTTGGTAAGGCCCTTTTGCTGCATTGCAGTAGTAATCTTTTGCTCTAACAGAAATTGAAGACTCTAATGATCAGTTTTGATGATGAAATGCCCTCCACAGAGATAAGGCCTCCATTTATCTATAGCATTAATGATGGAGAGATACTCTTTTTCATAGATAGAAAGCCCCAAGTGTTTAGGACCAAACCCCTTACTAAAGTAAGCTACTGGCTTCCCTTCTTGCATCAAGACTGCCCCCATTCCTTTGTGGCAAGCATCAGCTTCTACCACAAACTGCTTACTAAAATCTGGAAGTGACAAGACTGGTGCTGAACATAAAGCCTGTTTAAGCTGATCAAAAGCAGTTTCAGACACTGAGCTCCATTGAAATGCATCCTTCTTTAACATGTCAGTTAAGGGTCTACTTATGATGTCATATGACTTGATGAACCTCCTGTAGTACCCTGTTAGACCAAGGAAGCCTCTTAACTCCCTGATGTTCACTGGTTTTGGCCAAGCCCTCACTGCAATTAACTTCTCTGGATCAGTCTGTAAGCCTTTGCCAGAGATTATATGCCCCAAATATTCCACTTCATTTTTGGCAAATGAACACTTGCTCAACTTGGCTAACAACTGATTGCTCTTCATTATCTTTAGAACTTCCCTCAGATGCTCCCAATGGCTCTCCAATGAAGGACTATAAACAAGGATGTCATCAAAAAAGAGAAGGACTGTTTTTCTGATTAAGGGTTGAAACACATGATTCATAAGAGCCTGAAAAGTAGTTGGGGCATTTGTCAACCCAAATGGCATGACTTTAAACTCATACAGTCCTTGATGGGTTCTAAATGCTGTCTTGTATTCCTCCCCTTGTTTCATCCTGACTTGATGATAACCAGCTCTTAAATCCAATTTAGAAAACACCTTAGCCTTGGCCAATTCTGAGAACAGATCTTCTATGAGTGGAATAGGAAATTTGTTCTTTATAGTTATGCCATTCAAGGTTCTGTAGTCCACACAAAACCTCCATGAATTGTCTTTCTTAGGTACCAATAAAACAGGAGAGGCAAAAGGAGATGTGCTGGGTGCAATAATTCCAGCTGTTAGCATTTCACTTACCATTTTCTCAATGGTGTTCTTTTGTAGGAAAGAATACCTATAGGGTTTTAAATTGACTGGTTTGGATCCTGGTAGTAAGGGAATCATATGATCAAATGGCCTTTTAGGAGGTAGAGTTTTTGGTTCTTCAAACAACTGCTGATATTCTTGCAGAATCTCATTTAATTCTGGGGGATGAGATTCTGCTGGTTCTTTGGTTCTGATCTCTTGGAGCATCCCTTGTAGCATATACCCTTGTATTCCTTCTTTCACCCATCTTCTGACCTCTTTCTTGGTAGCTTGCTGTAAAATAATGTCCTTAGTTAGGCCCTTTAACAACACTTTTCTCCCTTCCTTGTGGAAAGAATGCCAGGAGGTTTAGTATGCAACTGTATTGGGGCAAAAAAGTCAATCCAGTCCATTCCAATGACTATATCACATCCACCTAATTTGAGGACTCTCAGATCCTTCTCAAATTCTTCTTTCTGTACCCGCCACTTCAACCTCTTACATATTAGATCACAGATCATCTGTTCCCCATTTGCCATTGTAACCTGTAGTGTTTCAGCCTTATCAGGAACAATCCTCAATTGATCAAGCACCCTGGGGTCCACAAAGCTATGTGTACTCCCACTATCCACCAGTATGGTCACTTGCTGCTTGTTGATGATACCTAGCAGCTTAATTGTGTTTAGGCCTTCCCCTCCAATCACTGCATTCATAGTAACCTCTACCTCTTCTGTTTCTGGTTCCATTAAGGGTTCCACATTCCCATCTTGTTCCCCACTCATTTCCTCTGCACTCTCTTGGAAATCAGCTCATTCAATGATATTAAAAGTGGGGCTTTTGCATCTATGTCCAGGATTCCAAGGTTCAAAACATCTTAAACACCTATTCTGCTCCTTAAGTTGATCTCTGAATTTATTGATTTCAGGTGATCTAGCATTGGAGTGAAGTTATTTGAGGCTATAGATCTGGTGATATTCTGGCTGGTTTGGGTTTTTGTTGGTTCATTTTGTCTAGGGTTGAGGGATCTGTTATGGGTAGTTGTGTTCTTTGGGTAGTATATGATGGTTTTTGGGTGGATTGCGGACTGGTTTTCTGTGGATCATTCACCTTCAAACCCTTCTCAAATTGCCTAGCCAACCAAATGGCATCCTCCAAACTATTAGGCTTAGATGTCCTCACAAAACATCTAAGTTGTTGCTTCAACCTCACCACATAGCTATCCAAGAAATATTGTTTAGTCAAGTAGGGATAAATCTGTAACAGCAAGCCTTTGTATTCCTCAAACTTATCAGAAAAATCCACAACATTACCCCATTGCTTAAAATTAGAAAATTCCTCCATTACATCAATGTTACTTCCACAGAACCTCTTAACAACTGCATTAGCAAAATTAGGCCATTGAAAGCCTTCCCTTAACCCATTTAAGTATGCCTCATACCACATAGCCACCCTACCAGTTAAGTTTACAAACAAAACATGCATGGTTTCATCCCTAGGGATTCTGGCTAACATGAAAAACCTCTCACACCTAACAACCCACAGTCTTGGATTTTCATAATCAAAAGAGGGAAATTCATGTTTGTACCTCATTCATTGCTCACCCCCTGGGTTGTTTTGGCCAGTTCTTGCCACAAAGTGCACTCTCCTAGCCAATCCAGGTCTAGCTGCATTTCCAGGAAATCCATGGAAGCCATAAGGGGGTTCTGGTAAGCCATCATCACCATCAGAGACTTCTTCCACCTCCATTTCTTCTTCCTCAACAGGCTCTTTTCCTGGTCT